ATAACTGTTCTCTTAAGGGTTTTCATATAATCTAAGTATCTGTCACTTCTCCATTAAAAGAACATTATTCTCAGAATATGAAAGATTCATCTGGAGCTAGTTCCCAAGGAATTACATTTCAAGTGAGGATAAAGTTTATTAATAAAGATTATTAATAAATATGTCTGTTAGAAAGTTCTACATGAAAATGTGGGTATTACAAACTGGGACGTCTTTTACTCAAGAATTTTGTTTCCAATCTGTTAATGTGCTTTGAGAAGTTTGAAAAAATAGAGGCATTTTCAGTTATTTGGGACAGTAATAAAGGGCTTGTTGATGTAATTACTTTGCAGTTCTCTGGAGCTTCTAAAGAATTTTTTTTCACAAAGCTGTTGGGCTTGTTGCACTTGCTGCATTCTCATTCCCCACCCCATTGCTGCTATCAGGGTAGGGCAGAGCCATTCTGCTGAGTCAAGGGTGGCTGGAGGGATTTCAGCATTGAAGTAGAGCTGTGCTCAGTGCTTAAATGCTTAGGTGGTGACCTTTTAATGTGTTTTCGGTCCACTTTTCATTTGTGTCCTCTCTGTGTATTTGGGTGCCTGGCTTCTTTCTGCCTGCATAACTAATGTTCATCCCTGTGTTCTGGGCAGAAAAGAGTGTGGAAATCACACAGTGTCCTGAGTGGAATGAGTCACATTGCCAAGGTTGTTGGTATTAGGCTTCTGCATTTACCCCTTTCCAGAAGGGTCGGTCCTTTGAAGTGTTGCTTTGTAGCTTTCCTCAGATATGTTGCTCTAGCCATGATATGAGCACTTCTCTAATTGTTTATTTTGGGTCAGAATTGAAAGGTGAGATCCTTATCTTCACTTACCTTTAATGCACATACTGGATGAAGAATCATAGAATGTATTGGGTTGGAAGGGCCCTTTAAAGGTCGTCTAGTCCAACCCCACCTACAATAAGCAGGGATATCTTCAGCTAACCAGCTTGCTCAGAGTCCCATCAAGCCTGACCTTCAATGTCTTTAACTCTGTGAAGAGTTGAGGCCTGTGTCATGGTTCAAAGAGGGACTGAGACAAACATAATGGTACACCTATGTGTAGGATTCTGCATCAGCTCTGTTTCTTGTTGGCTGCACTGTGTATTAATTATCTGAAGTCTAAACAGCAAAAATTATTTTGTATG